TTTAAAATCTAGTGGTGAAGTCAATTTCTGTTTTATTTTATTTATGTATTTATTTTCCCCAAAGCCCCAGTAGATAGTTGTATGTCATAGCTGCACATCCTTCCAGTTGCTGTACGTGGGACGTGGCCTCAGCATGGCTGGAGAAGCCGTGCGTCTGTGCGCGCCCGGGATCTGAACCCGGGCCGCCAGCAGTGGAGCACGCCCACTTAACCACTAAGCCATGGGGCTGGCCCAGCTCATGTGTTCTTCATCACAACCCAAAAGCATTAGTGGTTTGATCTCCACCCTAGATTAGAAAACAGGTTCAGAGGGGAGTTTGAATTCAGACTCAGGTCTGTCTTACTCCAAAGTCCATGCCCCTACCCACGCCCATGCAGCAGCTGCCTCAGGGTTCAAAGAAATGTCTTTCCCTGGAGGCAGTCAAGTCTGTGCTATACTACCTGGTGAGAAAGAAAGGGAAACTCTCAGGAAAAAGTTTTACTGGTCCTTTCACTTCTGTTCTCTTACCTTGGCGAGAATCTGACAGAATCTTTTGTGTGTGTGTGTGTGTGAGGAAGATTAGCCCTGAGCTATCTTCCTCTTTTTGCTGAGGAAGATTGGCCCTGGGCTAACATCCGTGCCCATCTTCCTCTACTTTATATGTGGGATGCCTGTCACAGCATGACTTGATAAGCAGTGCATAGGTCTGTCTGCACCTGGGATCTGCACCTGGGATCTGAACCTGTGGACCACAGGCTGCCAAAGCAGAGCACGTGAACTTAACCACTGTGCCACTAGGCCAGCCCCTGACATAATCTTAACTAAAATTTTAGAGTATAAACAACATTCTAAACTTTAAGATAATTTTTATTGAACATGTATAAGATTCACCTTTACATTATTACAAATACTTTACAATAAAAAATTAGTTTTTGTAAAAAAAAAAAAAAAAGGAAACATTTCCTGGATTTATAGTGTACAGTTAAAACAAAGAAATATATAAATATGAAGGTCATTCTCCAAGTATCAGCACAGAATACTAATGGAATCACTTCAGTAAACATTTTTTCTTAAACATCTACATGATTACCTACAAGTGTATCCACTTCCAGAGGATCAAATAAATGCATCAGAGGAAGGTGATCCCCCAAATCAGATGAATTTCCAAAAAACAATCAAACTGAATATACCCTACATGCCTTCCTCTGCATGAGATTTGGTCAATGAATCTCAGCAATAGAATTTTCTTTGCTATATCCATAAGATGCAAATAAGCATTTGTAAATGCAGAGTATGTTGTCCGTGTAAATTAAAAATGTTGCCAGGTTTGTCATAGAGGGAGTAGCTAGAGACCACTCACACAACCATTTAAAATATACTGTGTATATATTATCTTATGCAAAGTCACATATATAAGGGAATAATAAGGACTTTATTTCCAGAGCAGTCTTAAAACAGGGTTAATATAGGCATATTTCATCCTTTATAGTTTTAGACTTCATATTCTTTAACATCTCAGCTACTAAAATCATGCATAGTACCTAAGCCCACACATGAGTAGTGGCATAACACGATTTCAACTATAGTACTTGATTATATTCACATGACGTACCATCTGGGAGAACTGACCAAGTATAACTTCTGAGTTGCCCTAGTTAAAGACCTGATAAAATATAATGCAACCCACCATACGAGCCCAGTCTCTTTCAGAGCATTAGTATGTATACTGGAATCCTGACACTTCCGAGTACTTCAATGAAGTATTTAATAACACTGTCAGCTTGAGCTTGCAAAGTGGTCTATTAGCATGGAAATCTCTAAAGTCTAAAATTACTTCTGGATGTTTTAATTTATTAAAACTCATTGCTATCTGAATATGTTTTGACTGGAGGCTAGTAGGAGATTTTTTTTCCTTTTGCAACAAATGGGCTAAGTGGGAGACCTCTGTGGCTCACAGTTTTCATGCAAAAAGAAAAAGCACATACAGAAGCATCTACTTTGGATATCATTACTCCGATAGCATTTTGCTGGAATGGGATGGTGCACTTTAGGATTCTTAGTTGAGACTTTCTCAGATTGTAAGTACTAATCCACATTAGTTGTTTGTATACAGAAGACTTCAACATCACACAAAAGAGAGTCAACCATCGATCGAAGTGTAAACTGACAGCCGGGGGCCTTCGCTGCCCTTTGCACCCTTCACTTCCTCACTGGTTTCAGTCAGCAGCACAAGTCACAGGAAGTGGGCTCGTGACCAGCCTCGGTATTTCCCTCAAACAAGGTATTTAAGGTTCTTCCTTATCTGATCACAAATATATAGCTTTAAAATACCATTAATCTTTTTCTCTAGCATAGGATTAGCGAAAGAAAATGTTATCCATCTACAAATTCTCCAAGACTGGGTAATTTGAAATTTGACTTAAATATTTAAAAATCAATTTACTGAGATCTAATTTTGCAAATTTGAATTTCTAAACTCAAAATGAAACCACAAGTGGACTTGATATTTAATAAGCAGATTTTTTTCAATAGCTACATGGTTAAGATATTAACAGCACATGCTTTAAAAAAAGAAAAACTAGAAAGTAAGGCAGACAGGCAATCTTTAATAAACATTTTCAAGGACTATAATGAAATTTGGTTGCAAAGTATGCTGATGGAAAACAAAATAGGGTAAAATGAATCCAGACTTTCACTGACTACAGAGGACATTGCCATCTTTTTTCTTCCTAATCAATGTTTCTACTTATTAAAATGTTTGTTATATTTAATACTACATAAATCAAGATGTATCTGGTGGCTGCTGAAATTATAAAGGCAAGATTTTTATGCTTTTCAAAATCTCTCCACATTTTGTCTTTAAATAATAATTCTATATCATTTTAAATACTGAGAGCTAGTCTTGTATACATTATTGGGCCAGGAGCAGCAAAGGATGAGTAAGACAAGGCAGTGCCCGGATTACAGCACCTCTGTCACATCTGGAGAATGTCCTCACTGAACCTCGCTTACAATCTATTTCTATTATCATTTTCAAAACTGCAAAATCATTTGCAGAGCGTCAATAAAAAATATAGCCTAGAAATAATATTTCGAAAATAGAAAAATAAGTTTTTAAAACATGTCATAATAAATATCTCTCTAAACAATATCTTCATATCTCTATTAAAAACTTTGATTTTTTTCTCCCATAAGATATAATGAATAGATCACTTCACTTGTTTAGTCAGACAGCAAGTCTTTACCACTTAAGATAACATTTTCCTTGGTTAGAATAAAATGTTCAGGTCAATTTTATTTTCTTCAAAACAAATCTTAAATACAGTATACCTAATTACTCAGAAAACCCTATCTCTCAACATTCAAAATATTCTAAAATAGAGTGTCATCTCTTTAAAAATCTCAGAATCTATTTGTTGCACAGTAGTATTGGATAAATTTGGAATACCCAATCCTTAAAATATTAAAAAAACAAAAGCCCTAACATTAACTATTCAAATTTTTACATATCTCTAAATTTGGATATTAAAATAATATTTTCTTAAAAATAATACATTTTTTCCCTTATGTTGCCAACATGAAAATACCTAGACCAAAGTAATTCTATCCTAACACATTACGTTTCTCGGACATGGTTTTGAAAGTAAGGACTGGGAATTACTGGTTCTATAGAATCTACATTTTTCTTCAGGGACTGAGTGATTCCAAGAAAACTGAGATCTTTCCACACAGAAACTATGACATAAGACCAGAAAAACTCCTAAGATTTATCTGCTGTGCTGTTAAACTGGATCCAGATCAGATATTATTTTAAAGCTCTATTCGATGCATGTTATATTCTATTCTCACCTCAAAACAACGAGCTTCTGATATAGTAAAAAAGGAAAGAGAGTATCTAATCATGGGGGGCTAAAACAGAAAACCACAGGTCCATGTCAGTGACGTCAAGTAGATGTCTCATCTTTTATCCACTACCTCCTTGGAATAATTTTCAGTTTCAGGTAAGTCTGAACTTACAGAGAAAAGACTGCTCTGTTTCTACTCGTATCACAGTTTTCCTCCTGTTGCTCTAAATTTTGACTCTGAAACCGGCAGATATTATTCAGTTAGTTAAAACAGCTCTTATGTTAGGGTGCCTTATGGTAGCCTAATATACTGATTATTAAACTTATCTTTTTTTTTTTTTTTTGTGAGGAAGATTAGCCCCGAGCTAACATCTGATGCCAATCCTTCCTCTTTTTGCTGAGGAAGATTGGCCCTGGGCTAAGATCCGTGCCCATCTTCCTCTATTTTGTATATGGGATGCTGCCACAGCATGGCTTGACAAGCAGTGCGTTGGTCCGTGCCCGGGATCCGAACCTGCGAACCCTGGGCCACTGAAGCGGAGCAAGCAAACTTAACCACTACGCCACCAGGCTGGCCCCTAAACTTAACTTGAATCTCTTATATAGTCTAGTGGGAGTCCTGCAATACATACTGCATAATAATGGCATTATACCCATTCATGTATATCCGACTTAAACACACTTGTTATTTGACTTATGACTTTTACATTTAGAATTATTAAGCATTTTATACGTTTAAATTGTAGTATAACATTTTCCCAAAGCATGAACACCCACACTTTATATCAGTTATTACATCAAAAAGAGTTAATAAACTTACTACAATACTTTAAGCAGAATAATATGGAAGGTTCCCTTCACAGGAATTATAACTATCTTGACAGAATTTACAGGGTTTAAATTATTTTCACTTATTATCTCTCAAACATAAAATTAAATAATTAGAGCCCAAATCTGTTGAGCACTTCTATCATAGGTTTTACACTTCAACATTAAAACTAGACTCAGATGTACAGACCTATTTTCCCCACCAGGATGTTTTGAAAGAAAAAGCAGGCTTTTGTTACCCTGTGCAGCAACTACACAAGCCGTGTACCCGTAAACACGTGGCACATTGCCTTGATGCTACCATTCCGACAGTGGTGGGCACTTTCAGAGACAAAATCAGTGTTGGTTTTCCTCTTGATAGAAGAACGTACTTCATTTTTTAATAGGTTCATTTTCTCATAAGTACTTGAATAAAGTGCCTTGATTGCTCAATTGCCCACATCTTAAACCCACAGGGAGGCTTCAGTTCACCAGCTTGACTTCTAGCGTTTGATCACAACTTGTTCGTAAGCTCCAGACCCCACCCTAAAATAGTAGGGGGAAAAAAAAATTTCAGAATTTTGAGCTGTAATGTTTGAAATTGTTCTAGTTAACCTTGCCCCCAAAGAGATAGGGCATTAGGCATTTTCTACTAGATTGGATTTCACAAGGTTTAAAGATATCACAGATGAAAATATTTGAAATATTAAATGTTTATGATTAATACATTGGATTAGTCTAGCCCCTGATCCTCTCATACTTATTCTGACAATAATCTAGGAATGTTTCCAAATTCTTACCCTATCAACATACTGGCAAGCATGTTTATATATAAATCCTAAACCAGTCTCATCTGAGAGCAGATAATGACTCTGGCAGTTCAGGTCTTGCACTGATAATGCATGATAGTTTTTAGTTGCATTAGTAGCATGGTGTCTTAATGTACTTTCCTAGAAAGTGCAAGAATTCTTTTAATCAATATGCAAATGTCTTTACATGCAGTCAGTAATGTAAATTATACCTGCATAATGTAGATTTAAAGGGAAAACGATCTTGAAAAGGGGTATATTTCTTCACTAGCTTGGTCTGGCAGACTGCTGGTTGTCCCCCCAAATCTACTCTCCCCTTCTTCACAGTTTTAGCTGGGTACAGGCTGCTTGGCTAGAGACCACATTTCCTAAACTCCTTCGTAGATAAGTGTGGCCACACGACTAAGTTTTCCCTCAGGGAATGTGAATGGACACCAACAACTTCTGCCTCACTTGCTTAAAGGGAATTCCTTGCCTTGGACTGGGAGCAATCCAATTTTGACAACACAGGTAGGGAGGATGGTGAAGGACAAAATGGAGGGTACCTGGGTCAATGAATTACTTCTGGGGGCTAAGCTGTCCCATTGGCCTGGCCACTGTATTTTTTGGTCTCTTTGTTATAGCAGCTTAGTCTTTGCCCTAATATGCCAGGTACTAACTGACCTCTATTAATGAAATATGGAGAATACTTAAAGCCTTAAAATTTGCAAGCTTTGTGAATAAAGTACTAGAGATATTTATATTAAGTAACGGCATCATCAATGGCCTTACGTTATAACAGAATGAACACACATGTTCCCTCTATTGTTTCTTGGTCTGGGAAGATAAAGGTTTTCTACAAGCCTGTAAAAAAAATCAGTTTTTTGATGGCAGTTGGATTTATTTTTGGATGAAGATCATTCTACCTTTTCCTTGACCCCTCCTGAGTGATTGGGAGGAGAGGTGAAGTGGTTGCATGGAAGTTATCACCAGGTACCCATCTCCTCACCTGTCTAAGATGTCGGGGGCTACTAGCTGGCATTTCACTCTGAATACGCCAGAGATCAGTAAGACCAGAAGCAATCATCATGACTTGTCTCTGCTCTTAATGGAACTTTAAGAGGAAATTCTAAAAAATGGAAGTAAAGTAGTGGTTACTAGTCCATCATGGACTGAGTTGGACTTAGTTGATTGCTCAGAGACTCCTTTTCTTATAGATTCATTCTAAAGAATAAACAGGAAAATCCTCAACAGGACGCCAGTAACACCTATTCATAGCTACAGATAATCAGAATTCGAAGGAACCTTGGTTAGCACCATCGCACACCGGCTTTTAGATGCCCTAAAATGGTTCTGCTTCTGGCAATAGTGGAGTTAACATGAATCAGACTTTCCTTCCTGCTCTAAATAACTAGAAAACTGGATAGAACATATGAAATGACAGTTTCACACACTGGACAAGGGCAGCACAGAACTGGACCTGAGAGAAGGGAAATTGTTGAAGAAAGCTAGACAACTGCCCTAGCTTGCTACCGGAAGCTGTTTCCTTCAGGATCCTCCCAGCCTGCAGCATAGGGAGGCAGAACCCAAACACAGCTAGGTGGTGTCTCTAAGTGGAGGGGTCAGAGGTCAGAGCTCAGGGATGCTGAGGGCTAGAGTCTGTAGGTCAGGATATCAGAAGTGGCGGGAAAATAATGGCTGGAGAATTTCCAAATTTGATGAAAACTGTAAACCCACAGATCCAAGAAGCTCAAAGAACCCCAAGCAGGAAAAAACATAAAGAAAATCACATCAAGGTACATCATAACTGAACTGCTAAAAACCCGTGGAGAAAAGGAGAGTACAAGACAGGTTAATATCAGTGTATGTTGCTAAGTGCTCATAACAGAGAAGACCACTGACTGAAAATGTAATTTTGCTTTGCTCTTTCTAAAATATCAGACTAAGAACACTTTTCTAAATGTCCTTTTTATACTGCATCTTGCCCAATGCTCTACTGGTCCTGTTAACATATTCTAAAAATATATCAAAGGAAATCAACAAATAAACTTATAAAATATAATTTCAAACATACTCAGAATAAGGAAAACTAAGAGTCACACTAAGAACTATAATTCTTCTCATGGAACTACTAATACCTGTGTTTTCTAGCCTCAGTCTAACACAAACTTTGTACCCTCGATCTTCTATTCATGAATACTTAAAAAGTCAGTCTGTTCTTTATTTTAGCAAGATCCTTTGTGGACTACATACCTATTTGGAAGATGATGACTGCCAAAGGTTGTACGTCCCCCAGGACCCACAAATAGCCTCAGTCCTTCTTCTGCAAAACACATTTAAAATATTTATTATAGGTATAATTATTACATTATTGTCAAATAATATTCATATTTTAATAAATTCATATTTTACATTTCACATTTATTAAAGAAATAAAAAACTTTTAAAAAAAGCTACACACGTTTTGAAACAGGCAGTTTAAAAGATATCCTAATGGTTATTTGTCATCAACTTTCCTAAAGCTATTTTTCTAAAAACTGAGTAAAGAAGACAGCTCTTCCTACAAATTTCCACAAGTAAGGTTTAATTATTTCTCTTTACAACCAGTTAGATAATGAAGCTAAGTCATTGTTAACTGCTCTCTATTCACACCAGCATGAATAATTATACCTTTCAAATTGGTGGCATGTAAATTTTCAGTTTCAGTAAAAACGCTAAGGAGGGAGTGAAGGATTCTGGTATTCACTATCATTTCAAGATCACCACCCAACCCTCCAAATTACAATAGTGACTTGAAGTACTCATGTCCAGTTATGACAAAGCAGATGTAGATCTCTATCATAAGGTATATAAACATGGTAGACATTGATGCATAATTTAAAAATACAATAAAAGCTTCCTTTAAAATTTATCTTTTCAAACTAAAGTTCATTCTTTTCCAAATTTAATATCCTTTCTTAGAAATGGACGAGCTACAAAGTTATCTTCAGATTTTTATCAGCATGAGATTTATTTACAAATGTGCAACAGTCCGTGTCATGTACTGCCTCTTTACTGCTGACCATGTGGATTTCACAAACCTGGATTACATACATCTGTGTATACTTAATGGTTATCTACGCACCTTCTGCACTGGAATCTAGGCTGAAGTCTTGACTTTGTAATATTTTCTCCACAATGTCATCGGCATCCACTCTGGTGTCATCAACTCGCTTCAGCTGAGATTCTACAGAATCTTGTTTCATGGGGCATCTTTGAAAATAATTAACATTTTTTTCCCTCCTTTTTATTATGTTATGAAAACAAAGGTTTTTTTTCTTTTTTCCCATTTAAACTGACACCAAAAGCATACCTGCTGAGTATTTCTGAAGCTGTATCCTCTTTATCAGCTGTATCAAGAGTTGGTTCAGCTATTTTTTGTTCAATCTCATCGCATGGCTCCAGAATACTTTCAATTCCTGTTGATGTACTTCCCACTGAGGTATTTCTCCTGTGGCAGAGCTCAGAGAAGCTAGATGACCGGGAGTGGCATGTGCTATACCCTGTCAGAGAAAATCATTTGGATATAATACTAACATCACACACACCGCAATCAAACATTCTTCTCACACACCATAGCAATTTCAAGTCCCTATAGAGCAATAAATGTCTAAGGAATCCAACTTCGCTTTTAGCCTCTACCTGATACTTTTGACTGCTGGCTTGCATAGCTTGATGTTCTAGAATGTCCACAGGCTCCAAGTTCATCTGGAACAGAGGCACTCTTTGCTGAAATATCTGCAATGTGTCATAAGATAATGTTACTATTACTGCCAACAAGTCAATGGTCAATTTGTATTCTAATCTGTGGATTTTATAAACTGCCAAGTTCATTATCAACAAAAATAAGTTACAAAGTGAAAGAGATCCCTTTAAATCAGTACAATGTAAACAACAGTATTGCAGGAAATACAAAGAACTTCAATACCTTAGTTTACTGAAGAACTATAGTATTTTTCATAATATTTAACAGGACTCTATCTTAAATAAAACTATTTCAGTATTTCTCTAATAAAAATGAGTCAGATGTATTTTTATAAATTTTCACAAAATTGCCAGGTTTTTGTGTGGTTTTTGAGGAAATCTTGCTCTCAAAAATCCATCACAGCAGTAAACTAAAGAGCACTTTGTTACTTTAACATTAGCGTTGCTAGTGCTAGGTTACAATTTGGGCAAATGTCTGTGGTTTAAAATCAACACCACATGGAATGTAGCGCTGAGAATAAAAGTTCTTAAGAAATTGATTATAGTATTCAGTTTCAAAGTAAATGTACAAAAAAAGGAGTGTCAAAGCCATTTCTAATACTTCCTTGATAATGTGCATATTTCAGATGCCAATTACGTATTTCCAGAACCAGGCTTCTTCCACAGAATATAGACTGTGACCATTTTCATTAGAGTGAAATATTTGGAAACTAGAACTGTTTTTCACTTACGGTCAGAAGAAAACCAATTGAGTAACACAGGCAATTATAGCAGCAGTTCTATAAATGATATTGAACGCAGTTGGATCAACAAATGCTGTCAAACAAGTAAGCTACTGGAGCGACCTGGCCCTTGTGCAAAGGTTTCTCATTTCCGGACAGACTGTAAGATACAAATCCAAACTAGCATCCCTAGTCCTGCTTTACAGCAGCCCTAAACCCAAAGGTTAGCTACAACAAAATCTGAAGTCAAAGAGTTGGTTCATATCAAGAATATATAGGACTAACCCTTTACTCCTAGGGTTGGCTCAGATCTTTTTTTTGTTTTTTTGTGAAGAAGAGTCACTCTGAGCTAACATCTGTTGCCAATCTTCCTCTTTTATTGCCTGAGGAAGATTAGCCGTGAACTAACATCTGTGCCAATCTTCCTCCACCTTGTATGTGGGACACTGCCACAGCATGGCTTGACGAATGGTGTAGGTCTGCACCTGGGATCCGAACCCACAAACCTGGGCCGCCGAAGCAGAGTGTGCCAGACCCAACTAACGTGCCACGGGGCTGGGCCCCCTCAAATCTTAATTCATCCATTTATCTATTGGTTTTCAAAATTTATTCATTCAATAAATATTTGTTAAGCTCTTACTGAGTCAGGTGCCCAATACTATATAAGATATAGGGGTACAAAACAAATAAGGCAAAATATACACTCAGAGTTTAGAGGCAGCAGTTATAATACAATGTGGCAAGTACTAAAATACAAGCACCAAAAAGAAACTACCACAAGCTCCAAAGGACAAGTGCATCAAGCACTGCCTGGTACCAGGGGGAGACCTCAGAGAGGAGGTTAACTCCAGGTCTTTAACAACATACAGGAATTCCTCAGCTCGATGAGGTGGGGAAAAGTATAGGGAACAGCATGCTTCGTTTGTAGAAAAGCAAATAGTTTGGTCCAGTTGGCACACAGGGTGGGTTGCCATGTAGATGACTGAAGGCAAAAGAGATAAGCAGATGCCTGCTAATAAAGGACTTTCTCCTCTGAGTTTAAAGAAGGGAATAACCCAATGGCTTTAAGCAAGGGTGTGACATGACCAGACCTACATTTTGGGAAGATCACTTTGGCAACAGGATGAACAGGGGGTAAAGGACTGAAGGTTTTCATAATAATCCAGCTGACAGTGAGAGATGTTTAGTGGGCACAAATGACAGGACTGAATTACTAGGCAGAAGTGTGTGTCAGGATAACGGACAGAAAATACAAGAGGAAGACTTAGGAAGACTTGTCTTGGATATGTAGAATTTGAGACAACCCAGGAGATCCATTCACTAATCACTGAATTTTTACGGTGTCCCTGGCATTATGCTGGAGATACAGACAGGTAAGACCTGAGCATGAAGAACTTAAGAGTCTAGCTGAGGAGAAAGATAAACAGATGGATTTCAGTATAACATGTGACATGACGTGGATCTTTCCCCAAAGCATTTGGAAACACGTACCTGGAGTTCAGGAGGGAGGTCGGGAGGAAACAGAAATTTGTAAATGAAAAGTATTTAACTCATATTGACATGATCACATTTACATTTATGTGATAGTTAAATGCAAGGGTATAAACGACATTGACCAGGGAGAGTGAGTAGAGGGAACCACACCCTGCAGAACATCAATATTTAAGAGGAAGGCGGAAGAAGATGAAGAATCCTTCAAGAAGCTAGAAAAGGAAAGGTCACAGAGGTGGGAGCCAAGGGAAGAGAAAGCTTCAAGAAAGAATAAATGGCCAAGACAAATGAAAGCAGAAAAAAGGCCCACAGGATTTGACAATCATGTTACTGGAGACAACATCAAGAGAGGGTAGAAGGTAGAAGCCAGACTGCACGTGTGTTTAGGAATAAATGGGCAGTATATTCTTTCTAGAAGTTTGGCTATAAAAAGTGTGAGAGAAAGAGGGAGGGGAAAGGAGGGTGTGAGAAGACGGAAGAAAAGTAGCTAGAGAAGGATGTATGGCTAATGAGTTTTTGTCTTTTTTCAACATGAGACAGAATTCAGAATATGTATATACTGAAGAGAAGGAGCGAACGGAATGGTTGAAAGTACACAGAGCATTCACCAATCCTAAATCTGAAATTTTGGTGTCCTCATTATCTATAAGAAACCTTATCTTTGCATATCTGAAAAGGTGGTAAAAATGTTAACTGTGTCACTATACTTTTCTTTTCATTCTTTCAAATAATAACCCTGCTCACATAACGGGAGAGAAAAGGAAGCTCCTAAGTCCCTAAGTCCCTTTTCTCCGGCCAACTTGACATTTTCTTCACCCTGCTGGAGCAGATTCTGACTGTTGCTGGGAGTGTGCCTGGAGAAGTGGCTCTCAAGGTGAGGCCTGCAGCCCAGCAGCATCAGCATCACCCGGGAACTTGGTAATGCAGTTTTCTGGCCCCAACCCAGACCTACCGGATCCCAAACTCCGGCTGCCATGTCAGCAATCTATGGTTTAACAGGCCCAGCAGGGGATTCTGATGTACGTCAATGTTTGGGAATCACTGACAGAGGGACAGTGATTCACGGAAGAGAAGCCACACCTGAGAGATGACTGGCAGAAGCTGGGCATGTGGAATTGGAAAAATCCTGTGGTATCCTGCTGTATCTGTGGAGAGTAGAAGCATCCGATGGTGGGGGGGTGTCACTGCTTTTAGCTTTTAATCTGTCAGAGCATAACACTTTAGACAAAATGAAGCATTGGCTTAACCAAAAATTGCATAAATAAAACTCTGCTGATACTTATTGGCCCATTTCAAATCATATATCCATAGAATTTTAAATCTGAGAAGGAATTTGGGAATAATCTTTTAGGATATCAAAAAGGACTGTCTTGCACAAATTAAAAAACCAGTAAGATACACATCTATACCTGCTATTCCAAGATGGATTTTGAGAGTCTCTCCACCTTTTCTATCCTCTTCCAGAAATTCAGATTCACCAGCAATCGGTATAGACATTGATGTAGAAGGAGGCCTGTAAATAAACATTTTTAACGATCAGAACTTGATGTATAGATGAATCTGAAAGTTTGAAATACTGTTATAGATTGGTTGTGTACGTCATAGTTGCACATCCTTTTAGTTGCTGTATGTGGGATGCCGTCTCAGCACGGCTGGAGAAGCGGTGCATCGGTGCGCACCCCGGGATCCGAACCCGGGCCACCGGTAGCGGAGTGTGCGCACTTAACCGCTAAGCCACGGGGCCGGCCCCCACCAAAAGCTATATATATATATATATTTTTTTAAAGATTTTATTTATTTATTTATTTTCCCCCAAAGCCCCAGGAGATAGTTGTATGTCATAGCTGCACATCCTTCTAGTTGCTGTATGTGGGACACGGCCTCAGCATGGCCGGAGAAGTGGTGCGTCGGCGCGCGCCCGGGATCTGAACCCGGGTCGCCAGCATCAGACTGCGCGCACTTAACCGCTAAGCCACGGGGCTGACCCCAAAAGCTATATTTTAAAATAATGTTAAAACAGCTTGGTGAAAAAAACCCCTGCATTCAATAGTCTATAAGAAAAACTAATATGTAAAAGAAATACACTTACAAAGAATGGAGTCTACAGTCACAACCATTAATCATTGATGGTGACTCACGCCTGTCTATAAATTCTTATCTTTTTCATGCCAGTTCCTTTGTTTTTCCTTTCACAGGTAGCCTGATTACAGTTTCTCCAGCCCTCTACCTCTTAAACGTGTTTTCCAACCCTTCAGAACATCCACCCTGTGCCTCTTCCCTTTCTATCAGTCTCCCTCTGGCTCTACTCTTTCCTGCCCAGCCTGACTTCACAGCCACAACGCTGTTAGCAATACCTTCAACTAGGCACCCCTTGTTCTGCAGTTTCAAAAACCTGGGGCCGGTCCCGTGGCTTAGTGGTTAAGTGCATGCACTCCGCTGCTGGCGGCCAGGGTTCGGATCCTGGGCATGCACCGACGCACCACTTCTCCGGCCATGCTGAGGCCGCATCCCACATACAGCAACTAGAAGGATGTGCAGCTATGAGATACAACTATCTACTGGGGCTTTGGGGGAAAAAGTAAATAAATAAAATTATATTAAAAAAAAAAAACCGAAGAACCCCAATCTTTGATAATTTCAGCCATTTACACTAAATAACTGCTCTAATACTGGGGCAACTATGCATTATGAGGAAAATTCATCAATCAGGGGATTGATATTAAGGCAAATTTAGAATCTAAAATCTTAGTTGGGCCTCACCAGCTCTCCCAAGTCTCCCTAGACAACTCAGTCGTGTTGAATAAATAATCACAGAGTGCCTATCATGTGCTAGTTTTTATTCTATTACCCCTTTTGTTCTGAAAATGTTTTACTATCCCTTATCAGAAATTGTTTACTATAGCTCAATTACAGAAAGAAACAGATGGGATTATTTTATTTTAATTTCACGGCAATGTTAAGAGTATGTGAAAAATGACCTCCTAAAATGACAATACTACTACCTGGTATTCCATAAACATTTCATGCCCTGTAACAATGCCATAAACTTGTGCAAGTTGTTTTCTCTTCCTGGAATGTCTCTACTCACCTCCTCTGCTTAGTAATCTTCTATCCGTCCTTTAAAAATTAGCTCAGTGTCACCTGCTCAGTGAAGACTTTCCTGGCTTTCAAGGAAAAGTAGTTAGGGACTCTAGCCTCTAGGCCTCCATAACATCATATGTTGTGTGTCCGTCTCCCACATAAACAGTGAATCCTTTGGAGCAGGGGCCAGTCTTATTTAGCCTGATAAATGTTAGCACACGGTAGGCAATCAATGCACAGGTACTGAATGAATGAATGAATCCTGGGACCCTGGACAAATTAGTTCCTTAACATCTGAGCCTCAATGTCCTCACTTAAAAATACGGATAATACTTACAGAGTTGTTTCAAGAATTAAACTGGGAGACAGTAATATTCATTAAATCATTCTGACAAATGGTAATTTCCTTCCTTCTAGAACATGAACGCTTTAGAGCCCTAGCAATTCAAGAGTGTTACATCATCCCTTGATCTGTGTTACCACCAAATTATCAAATGCCAGTAGAGTATACAATTTCTCTCTCAAAATATCCTTTTTCTTCATCAGCACTAGTGGTTGGCTTTCTTTTAGAGTCTTTTTCATTCTTTTACAAGAGTTGGTGGATATCTGATGAGTTGTAGAGAAGTACAAAATGGAGTTCAGGGCAGGTGGTTAGAGGCTGACTTACCAGCTGTCTTCTTCATAAATACTGGCCTCATAGTATAAAATTTGTGTTTCATAAAAATTATATAATCTATGCCACAGATCTTCTGCTCATAAAATATCAAAACTAGAATTTAAATCTGAGAATGCTAAGGATCTGCTTTACTCTTGTTAGTTTCCCTAGTAGGCTTTTAAAAACTTTATATTGTGGAAAATTCAGACAAAAGCAGAGAGACTAGCAGAATGAACCTGTCTAGCAGTTGTTTACATCTACATCTCACAGACAAATACTCAGTCAAGTCACTCAATTGCTCTGTGCCTTAGTTTCCTCATCTGTAAAATGAGAACTTGGATTATACCAAGACTTTTTAGACTGTCTTCATGAAGCTCCGTAGGGACTTCAGTAGGTAGTAGGGTAATATATCTTTTCACCCCTCAATAGAAAGATGTTACATACTGGGATTCATAATACATTTGAGCAAAAGATTTTGTGGCTAAATATTCTGAAAAAAAAATCACCGACTAGACAACTTCCAACATTCTTTTCAGCTCTAAAGTATTGTGATTATACATATTTAATATATATTGAAATATAACGATAAAAATAATTTATTATTTTTTTTCAGGAAGATTGGCCATGTGCTAACATCTGTTGCCAATCTTCCTCTTTTTCTTTTTTCTCCCCAAAGCCCCAGTACAGAGTTGTAGAGTTGTAGCTCTTCTATGTGGGACGCCTCCTCAGCACGTCTTGATGAGCGGTGAGCAGGTCCACATCCAGGATCCGAATCGGCGAGCCCCCGGCTGCTGAAGCAGGATGTGCTAACTTAACCGCTACACCACCGGGCTGGCCCCTACTTTTTACATCAGTAGTTCAAATATTTTTCTATTCAATTCATACTCAGTATGTGCAAGTGCATGAATGTGTTAGAGTTGCCCTTTTTCCACTAACAGCTGCACAATTTCAGACGTTCAAAGAAAAGAGAAAACAAATACAGTCATGTGCCACATAACAACGTTTTGGTCACTGATGGATCACATGTATGAGGGTGGTCCCATAAGATTAGTACCATATAGCTTAGGTGTGTAGTAGGCTACACCATCTAGGTTTGTGTAAGTACACTCTATGATGTTCACACAACGAAGAAATCACCTACCAACGCATTTCTCAGAACATATCCCCGTTGTTAAGTGACACGTGACTGTACTGGGGGTTTGATTCCTGAGAAATACTTTTACCTTTCTTGGGATTAGGTAAGGTCTGTTTATTCTAATGAATTATAAAAGTCATTCTCTATAAATATAAACTCTAGATTGTCAGAATTACATTTGTTGAGATAATACAGAACATAAGATGATTTATTTTTGAGCTCTTCGGTATTTGAATTTCACAAGTAGAGTGATAAAATGTGAAAGGGCCAGAAAGGGAACAGTCATAAAAAGTTCACGAGAAGGAATGATGAATTCATTTTCTTTTACTAAGTTTTGCTGCTCATTTTCTCATTTCACCCTAAACTGATTCCACTAGAAAAACATATTGTTACCTAAGAAACCAAAAATAGCATTGCAAAAATTGTTTAGTCCCAAGGGAGCAGGAAATAAAGAAAATAGCCAGGAAATTATGGTTTGAGAGAAGATAGCACAGGAAGGCTAAGTTATAGGGAAATACATAGTTTAATCATTTAATGATTTGTATTAAAATACAGGTTTTCATCTTTATAAAACAGTATGTAAGTAGAGAACTATACGGATGTGGCTATTAAAAACTTGAAGCTCATGTATAGGAAGTAATTAATATTTTCTTTACTTTTCTAAATATATTTTTCTAAGATATTTAAATAATATTTAATTAACCTTCATTTTTAATTATTAAGTGTCTTCAAGATTGCCGACAGGCAATCCTACTACTGCCTTTTCCCGTTCAGTTTAATCTCCCACTCTCTGAGGAGACTTTTATACATCTTTTCCTCTTTCCTCAACCCCCCACCCCCATCTTTCCCATCCTTGCTCTTCAATGAACACCTTTTGTTTCCTATTTCACTAAGAAATCAGGAGCAATTTGAAAATAACTTCTATATGTTTACTCTTCTCATCTGTCTACATCTGTAGCCATATTCTCTACCTCCATTTCTCTTGACAATCCAAGGACACCATTCTAGCGACTGTCCCTTTTCTCTTCTGACTACATTTCTCTCTCTGTATTGGACCATTCACATCAGTATACAAATATGCTGTAATACCTCCCATCTTAAAAGAGAACAAACAAAAACCTGCCCTTGACCCCATATCCCCTTTTTATTTATGACCCCATTTTTTTGTTCCTTTTTTGCAGCAAAATTCCTCATAAGAATTGTTTATACTAAATGTCCTCAATTTTTCTCCTCCAAAACTCTCTTTAACCCACTCCAATAAGGCTGCAGTCTAAGAGTATTCTACCAAAGCACTTGTCAGTCACCAATGGTCTCTACACTTCAGAATCAAAAGGTCAGTTCTCAGTCCTCCTCTTCCATGACCCACTTCAGTGGTGTGTGGCACAGCTGACTACTCCCCCCTTTTTGAAACACATCTTCATTTGGTTTTGAGGACAGTACTCTCCTTTGGCTCCTTGCTCTATCTCACTGGTTGTTCCTTTCCTGGTTCTTCCCTATCTCCCCACCTCTAACACATTGGAGTGTTCCACACCTTAGTGTGTGGTCCTTTTTTTAATTTATATTCTCTCCCTCTAGGACATTTAATCAAATCTCATGGCTTCAACTAGTATCTATATGCTGATGATGTCATGATTTCCAAATTTATATCTCCAGCCTGAGCCTCCCCACTGAACTTGTAGTGATACATCCAACTGTCTCTTTACACGTCTGGCTGGATGTTAAATAGCGACGTCAAAACTAACACGTCCAACATCCAAGCTCCCAACCTGTTCCTGTTGTAGGCTCTCTCATTTCAATAAATGGAAAATACCATTCTTCTAGTTACTCAGCCCCAAAACCCTGAAACAGCCTCCTAACTCATCTACCTATTTCTGCCCTTGCCGCCTTCACTGCTCCCACAAATTGTCTATTCTCTATCTAGCAGCCATAAGTCAGATAATTTCACTCCTTTGTTCTAAACCCTCCAGTAGCTTTTTATCTCACTCAGATTATAAGTGGCCTACAAGACTATTATTATAATGGCCTACAAGACTCTTTATCATCTGATTTCTTCTCCTGTTACCCTCCTCCTCATTCACTGTGGTCTAGACATACTCGTCTCCTGGCAGTTACTTGAACATGTCAAACACACTCCTCCCTCAAGGTTTTTGTCCTTGTTACCTCTACCTCAAATGCTCTTTCTCCAAATATCTGCATGGCTGGCTTCCCTCCTCCTTCAGGTCTCTGCTCAAAAATCATTTTTACCAGGGAAGACTTTCCTGACTACTCTCTGTAAAATAGCAACACTTCTCCCCAACATGGCCCTCCTATCCTGCTTTATTTTTCTCCAAAGCACTTATCACCATCTTTATATCATATATTTACTTGTCACTTTGTTGTTTATTTTCCTCTTAGAATGTAAGGTCCAAGACGTCAGTGACTTGGTCTACTTTTTTCACTGCTGTTTCTCTAGTGTCTAGAATAGGGCCTAGCACATAGTAAGCCACTTAACAGGTATTTGTTGAAGAAATGAATAAGTCTACAGAGGTCAAATTAAAAATTTTAGTTTGTATAATTTCACCCCAAACCTGAAGATGACAAAAGACCTATAGCTTAAATCATTTAGAGTGTGGAAAGGTTTTTGGTTATAGGTAATAGTAACTTCTATGAGGGTCAGGTCAATCTCCTAGGAAAGGAGATATAAGTATTTACAATAGGTATTAGCCTGTAAACACCACAAAATATTAATGTAAAAATTTAAACAAATAAATCATTATTATACTTTCAGATAAACAGCTCCTTTATTGAGCATCAACTTACGTTTTAAAGCATGGGTCACCAGACATCAGCTGCATACTGATCAAAACCTAAACACAAGAAAAATAAATATTGTGATTATAAAAGATGTCTTGAGAGAAGCCCTGTCCTGCTAGTCTATGCATCCTCCACAGCACCTCGTCCAGTATTTTCTATTTAGGAAGTATTAAATAAAATGATTATTGAATTGGGTTATATCCAATATTAAATTGCTGCTTTATACAGACATAGATTAAAAATCATTTTTAACATTCAAAACTCTGTAACTGCAAAAGTCAGAGCAGAAAAGACGGAAACAGAAAGTAAGCGCTTCACCGGTAACAATCCTGTGGGTGTGGCCGAGCTGGTCTAGTTTATCTGTCTTTCCTCCCAGGTTCCTGTGGTGCTTAAGTGTCTGGAATGCTTCCCTTTAACCTGCCATGTTGATGCTTCAAGGGGTGCCTGCTGGTGGCTGGTAAGAGCAGAATGCTTCCGGCCTTTGCTCTAGCTTTAGATCAGAATTTAAAGTTTTGCTGATGATTTCTGAAATGCTGCTGTTCTCTAGTTGCTGCCTTTTAAGAATCAGCCATAGGATCTTATTACTTTCTTCCGGGAATAATAATAATAACAGTAATAATAACAACATGAACAATAATCATGGTTGGAGAATTTATGATGTGCCAGGCATAAGCTAAGTGTTTTATATGCATTATTTCATTTAATCTTCACAACTCCTATGAGCGATTGATATTTTCACTTTAAGCCCAGGTGATTAAGTGATATTTTCAAGATCAGGTAGCTAGCATAGGGCAGAGCTGAGATCTGAACCCAGGACTGCACAATACTAAAATTCACAGTCTTAATGAATAACCGGATATATATATGTTACTGCATGTTTTCTGCCTAATGGCTGACATGTATTCTTATATAACCTCATTTCATTCTTATCTCTTCACCCCAGTGCCTCCACGACTATTCTTTTTCTCTTTAAATGCTAAACTTATCAAAAGCATGACCTGTACCTGCTGTGCTGGTTTCCTCATCATCTCTTCTTTCAAAGAACTCTACAATCTGGTTTCTGACTCCATTCAAACAGCACTCTTGAATATCCTGAATGTCTCAAGGAGATAGAGACGGCACATACAGCCTTTAAGAAATTGTGCAGGGAAGTAGAACAGAGAAGTGGGACAGTGGTTGGAGAAGATAAGTTGCTTTTTGTTTTTTTTTTTTAAATATAGGAGATACAGAGCTGTTTCGTTATACGTTCATGAGGATGGTTCACTGGAGGGAGAGATGATTAGGAGAAGGGATAATCCAATGGCCAAAGCTCTGGCTTAGGCAAGCTTTGGATTCTAGAACCTAAGAGGAAGGACTGACTTCTAACAGGAAGAGGGACACTTCATTCATTGTAATAGGAGGCAAAAAGGATAACGGGCTGGAGAGGCAGGAAGAATTGTAAATTCTGTGATGGGAAGATGGGGGAATTTGAGTTTAATGGCTTCTATTTTCTCAATAAAGGATAAAGCAAGACTATTAGCTGAGAGCAAGAGTGGTGTGTGGAGATATGAGGAGAGAAAAAGTATGAGATAGAACATCTAGGAAATTGGGAAAGGAAGCATACAAAGGAAGTAGAGCACAATTGCCTGATGGTGGTGAGCATGACTTTAGTAACGCCAGCTATGCTGGCTCTGTGATCTTCTCCAGCAATCTTCGGCAGCTAGGATGCAGACCCAGAAAGGAGAGTTGAGTTTGATTAGGGTTGGGGATTACCCAGGGGAGAGAAATGGAGTGAGACAGGGGCAAAGGAGCAAGGAGTATTTTTAAGGGTATAATAATCATGGACCATGGAATCTAAGCTGGAGAAAGAGGGAAGTTAAAGGAAGTGGAGGCTGACAGAAAGTGAGAAAGTGGTAAGGTTAAGGATAGCTAAGTGAGTAGCAGACCAAGAGAACTGGAAACATAAGAATTAGTGGTAAGAGAGAGGAATATTTTACATTGAAATTGTGGAGGTGGTGAAGTTCCTTTTATTTTATTTTTTTTATTGAGGTAACATTGGTTTATAACATTATATAAATTTCAGGTGTACATCATTATATTTCAATTTCTGTGTAGATTATACCATGTTCACCACCCAAACACTAATTACCACCCATCACCATACACACGTGCCCAGTCACCCCTTTCGCCCTCCTCCCTCTTTCCTTCCCCTATGGTAAAGTGGTGAAGTTTCTAGTGGTAAGAAAGTGAAGAGTGTGACCATGGGAGTAGGAATTGAGATGAAGAAAAGGGAAAGGTTGCTTGAGATGAGGAGTTTAAGGATCTGAGAGGCCTTACGCACATATAAGATTAGCTAGAGGGAGAGATTATATACAGAAGACAGTCCACAAGGATAGATCACCCACACAGATGGTTAAGCCACCAAAAAATGATAACAGAAGGGACGGAGAGAAAAACTGTGAGCCAGGAGCTAAGTCATCACTGAGTAGGAGAGAGAAGGTAACTAAGTGGCTGGGAGATGACAGAGACTGGGAAGGGAGCAAGTGTGAGAGCTGAACAGTGCGATCTATAAAGAGTATGGTTTTTGTAGGACAAAGTGGGAGAAATGGTGTGAAAGGACCAATGGGAGCCAGAAGGAAACTACTCCATGAGCTGGCCCTAAGGAATGTGGGGGTCTGAAATTAAAAAGTTATTTGAATTGCCAATGAAAACACTGTAATTCAGAGAAGAATTATCCATTTTCTTACATGAGAAATATGAAGAAACTGAATTTAGTGGCTTGTTCAGGATCAGTCTAAGAATGAACAGTGTAGTCTATATCTTGAGTCTGGTGCTTAGACAGGAGGGTAACATGAAAAGACCATTGACCACGTGGCAGAAGATATATATTTTCGTCTCAGCTCTGCCACTGACTACTTTAGTGAGACACTTAATCTTCTGAGTCTCAGCTTCTTCATCTATAAAATGGAGATAATCGGGCTGGCCCCGTGGCACGGCGGTTAAGTGCGCACGCTCCACTACTGGCGGCCCGGCTTCGGATCCCGGGTGCGCACCAACGCACCACTTGTCAAGCCATGCTGAGGCGGCATCCCACATAAAGTGGAGGAAGATGGGCACGGATGTTAGCTCAGGGCCGGTCTTCCTCAGCAAAAAGAGGAGGATTGGCATGGATGTTAGCTCAGGGATGATCTTCCTCACAAAAAGAAAAAAAAAAAAATGGAGATAATCTATCCCCATCTATCCAACTCTGTCTATCTCACAGAGGTATATGCAAGTGCTTTGAAAATTTTTTAGTTATATACAGATAACCATAAAATCAACAAGATGTGCACAGAAGTTTATATCATGTTATTTTTCTAACTTCCTCCTTGTCTTCTTTCACCGTTTCCTCCACACCCAACTACACATCCCCTCTTTCTTTATAGCTGCTAAACTTGTGCAAAGAATGAACTGGCTATAATAACCACATCACACATTTTCATATCTTCAAAGCTGTAGTGGTTGTGTTTATTATTCCCTGAATGTTCATGGCAACAGAGAGAAACACCTTAGGATCACGAAGGTGAACATCTGTCACTTTTCATGGCTTCTGTGATTTGGATCGTTCTTTTTGCTAGGTAGCGAGTATTTCAGTGGTGTGATCAGCATACGATCTCAGTATTGATTCCCATCTTGCCCTTGACACTATATACCTGGGCTTATTTAAAGGCAGAGAATCTCACTTGTTGACAGGTAAATCTTGAAACGTGCTTACTTTAAGAATGGAGTTATCCTGTCTTGTATTTTTGGTATCATAGCCTTCTAATAAACAGCGACGCGTGGTATTTCCTGATCCAGCAAACTCTGCCAGGTTTAGATCTGCAAAGCCCAGCTAGGAAAAGAAAGAGAATTATATTAATAGAATATCTACTAGGCTTCTATGATATTCTCCTTAAAATAAACATTCAAGCCATGTTCTAGTTTTCTCAAACTTCAGTCATTTTAATTTTTGCCATCTTAACAATACTCATTCTATTATTTGCTTACCATGTGTCTTTAAATTGGTTGATTTTTTGTAAAAATGTATTACTTACTCTACTCTTGTCTAAAGCAATACAATCTTTGAAATCATAAGATTTGATGTGGTAAAATATTTTTTCTGTACACATTAAAATATATAACTCGTGAAGCAAAAATAATGCATATCAAACAACTAAAATCATTGCAAGTAGCAGTGGCACTCGCATCACACTATGGGAAATATTAGCAGACCAACCATGAGCATTTTCATACACACAGAAAACTGATCGGACTTTTTTCTCCCTATTCTGGTTCTGGCTCTATTCCCAGTTAACCACTGGTGACTGCAGATAGCTGCAGGTTATTAAGTTCTCACTCTCCATGCAAGAACTAGAATGATTTAAGTGTATGACACACTTTCTTTGGTCCAAGCCCCTTCTCCCTCACCACCTTCCACAACATTTGCTTTGCTGATCTCCCTTGAGCTGACTCTCTAGTCATGAACCCTACTTCCTCTCTTCCCCAAAGTGGTGCCCCACAGCAGTGCTTTATGCTGCTATCCAGAAGTTCAGCTCAAACCTGTTCCTCCCTCTTATTACTACCCAGGTTTGGTCCCCAATTTCTGCAGCTAACAAAGATTGCCCTACAATCCTTCCTCTGATGTTGCTCAACCCTATTTCTTGTTTCCAAGTGCTACAACAAATCAACCCCATTATATCATTATTTTTATTTTTATTTTTTTTTGTGTGAGGAAGATCAGCCTTGAGCTAACATCCATGCCAATCCTCCTCTTTTTGCTGAGGAAGACTGGCCCTGAGCTAACATCTGTGCCCATCTTCCTCCACTTTATGTGGGACACCACCACAGCATGGCCTGACAAGAGGTGTGTTGGTGCGCGCCCGGGATCCGAACCTGGGCCGCCAGCAGCGGAGCGTGTGCACTTAACCACTATGCCACGGGGCTGGGCCCCCTTTATATCATTATTATTATTTTCTTTTACAAACTAAGTCTGTTCTACATGACTAAGTGTATATAGAGTCTTTTATTAACCAAAAAAATGTTTTGAGTTTGCAATTAATTAAGCATATCTCCCTGAATACATAATAAAAAGTGTTAACCATTTCAAACACTGTTGTGATTTTAAGTTGCCTACTTTAAGATTTTAAAATACACACTGGGCACATATGAATGGCATTCAAGATGAAGATTTTAATTGCAGACTGGAGCATTTTTCTAGTAGCTTTTATCTGGTACAAAAAGAGTGAAGAATAAGAACTTAGAGATCAGTTGAAGGGCCACAGGCCCCAAACATAGTAAGTCAGAACACATCAAGCCACAGGGAACATCTACCTAATTTTCACACAGTTACTGTGGTCTTACTGCCTTTTAGGGGTCTGACAGATCAGCAGAAAAGCCCGGATGTGTCCAGGGCAAAGCCACATCCAAATCAGCACGTGAAGACTCATGGGACCATTTGATCACACATCATCCACATGCCCTATTTCATACATTATCCTTTCTCTTTAAATCTCCAACACCTCCCTTCCATCCGTACTCTCTGCTGATGCCTTGCTTCCTATTTCACTCAGAGATAAAAGCAGTCAAAAGAGCACTTACCTTCCGCAAGCTCTTCTTGCCAGCCACATCCACTCACCTACCTGCATCTGTGCCCACGTAATTACCTTCCCACTTACTGTAAGCGAACTGGCGGTGCTCTGATCTGAGGTCAACTGCTCTCCTCTTGCCTATTCAAGTTCATTGCTTCAGGAATTCCTCCCCCTCTTTTGCATTCTAAAATTTCCCTTCTCTACTGGATCATTTCCATCAGCATACAAACATGCTGCATTTTCTCTCATCTTAATGAACAAAAGAAAACAAAACCTCACCCCACACATCTCTCCAGTCTATTGGATTATTTTTCTGCTCTCCTTTATAGCAAAACTCCCTGAAAGTGTTGTCTGTGTTGACTGTCTGTGATCCCTCAGTCCTTGGCTACTTCGTCAACTTCGGCTACGTGGTCAACTTCATTTCCCCCCTCTCCTCATTTACTCTTCTAGTCACAATGTCCTTTTTCTTGAAAACGCCAAACCACCCTAAGGCTTTTAACACTTACTGTTCCTTTTGCCTGATCCATTCTCTCTCAGATCTTCTTGTAGCTTTCTTCCTCACTCCATTCAGAGATATGTTCAAATGTCATCTCTCTAAAGAGGATGACCTGGGGCCGGCCCTGTGGCTTAGCGGTTAAGTGCCTGCGCTCTGCTACTGGCGGCCCGGGTTTGGATCCCAGGCACGCACTAACACACCGCTTGTCAGGCCATACTGTGGTGGCATCCCACATAAAGTGGAGGAAGATGGGCACGGATGTTAGCTCAGGGCCAGTCTTCCTCAGCAAAAAGAGGAGGACTGGCATGGATGTTAGCTCAGGGCTGATATTCCTCACACACACAAAAAATAGAAATAAAGGGGATGACCTGACCTGACCATCCTAGAACATGCCCTGCCTCCTCCCTTTCCTCTCCTCCCCTCCTCTGTAGTTGTCACCCTCTACCCCTTGTTTCATTTTTCTCCTTAGTAGTTATCATCATATCATGTACATACACATTTCATATTTATCTCGTTTATTATCTGTCCCCCAACCCTCCATTAGAACGTAAGCTGCACAAAGGCAGGGATTTTGGTAAGTTTTGTTCACTGCCATATCTCAGTACTTAGAATAGGGCCAGGAACAATGCCTGGCACATGGCAGGCAGTTAATACATATTTAATGAATAAAAAACAGCCCACTGGCTTACCATCCACTGTTGGAATGCTGGTATTACAGTGTCACTAAGATTAATGCAAGTTAAAAAACAAAGAATCTGGTCAGCCCCCATTAAGAGAGCGTATTAAAAGGTGGGATACGTCAGTGTGATGTTTACCAATGAAGGCTGTGAGGTTTCGGGCTGAAGGTCGACATTCACTAAGCACCTCTTATGTGCCAGGCCCTGTTCTAGACACTGGAAAACAGTGATGAACAGGAAAGACAAAGACTATCTTGAAAGAGCTTACATTCTAGTGAGGTACCAGAGAGGCCAGATTTCCTTATCATTTTCTCTTTGGCTTCACTGAGATAACTGGCTCATTAAAATGGCATATATACATAAATACTAGCTAGATCTGTGGCAGATACTACTACTTTTTTTTTTTTTTTGGATGGGAAAAACTTACATCTTTATTTTCTCTATATTTAGCACTTTCTTCAATAATAAATGTAGTCAATAAATCCCATTAGTATTTGGCAGTACCTGTAATGTTATCACCAATGGAAATCAAAGATATTTTCACATCAAGTTACAATTGTTGAATCTATATCAAAATATCACTTATGTTCACCACTACTTCAAAAGGATGGTGGTTACTAAACCTTCCCCCATATTATTTAATAATGGATTAATAAAGAGGCATGTATATTAAATTATCATGATTTTTATATTTTAATAACTGTATTTGAGTACAAATTTTAATCTAGTATTCTATTTTATCCATTTGAAAACATTTCTGAGAAGGATTCTTTTTTTTTGTTGTTGCAATATATTATATTTATTTTAATGTAGAACACAGTTAAAAAAAAGTTTAGAAGCCAAATATCTAAATAAAAACAAGCTTTCAGTATTTTAATCTATATTCTCCTCCCCAGCCTCCTCTTAACTCATGATGGGCTTTGATTACTACTGTTACTAAGGTAAGCAATAAAATAACCAAGATGTATGGGAATACCTTTCATTAGTTTTCTTTTTGAGTAGCTGGGACTGTCTTTCTGGTTGTGACTGAAAGCCTTATAGCTCTATCGATGTCTCTAACAACCACGGCATCAGTGAGGTGCAATTGCTCTGCTTCTCTTTTCCAGTTCTTAGTTTGTGTCAGGCTTCACTTCGTAAAGTATGCAATCGATGCAATATGATTTCTTTTTTTTTTTTAATTTTTTGTTTATTGCAGTAACATTGGTTTATAACATTGTATAAATTTCAGGTGTACATCATTATACTTCTATTTCTGCATAGATTACATCATGTTCACCACCAAAATACTAATTACGACCCATCACCACACACATGTGCCGAATTATCCCTTTTGCCCTCCTCCCTCCCCCCTTCCCCTCTGGTAACCACCAATCCAATCTCTGTCTCTATGTGTTTGTTTATTGTTGTTATTATCTACTACTTAATGAAGGAAATCATACGGTATTTGATCTTCTCCCTCTGACTTATTTCACTTTGCATTATACCCTCAATGTCCATCCATGTTGTCACAAATGCCTGGATTTCATCGTTTCTTATGGCTGAGTAGTATTCCATTGTGTATATATACCACATCTTCTTTATCCATTCGTCCCTTGATGGGCACTTAGGTTGCTTCCAAGTCTTGGCTATTGTGACTAACGCTGCAATGAACACAGGGGTGCATGTATCTTTATGCATTGGTGTTTTCAAGTTCTTTGGATAAATACCCAACAGTGGAATAGCTGGATCATATGGTAGTTCTATCCTTGATTTTTTGAGGAATCTCCATACTGTTTTCCATAGTGGCTGCACCAGTTTGCACTCCCATCAGCAGTGTATGAGAGTTCCCTTCTCTCCACATCCTCTCCAACACATGCTGTTTCCTGTCTTGTTAATTATAGCCATTCTGACGGGCGTGAGGTGATATCTCATTGTAGTTTTGATTTGCATTTCCCTGATAGTTAATGATTTTGAACATCTTTTCATGTGTCTGTTGGCCATCTGTATATCTTCTTTGGAGAAATGTCTGTTCAGGTCTTTTGCCCATTTTTTAATTGGGTTGTTTTTTTGTTGTTGAGATGCATGAGTTCTTTATATATTTTGGAGATTAAGCCCTTATCAGATGTATGGTTTGCAAATATCTTCTCCCAGTTGTTAGGTTGTCTTTTCGTTTTGTTGATGGTTTCCTTTGCTGTGCAGAAGCTTTTTAGTTTGATGTAGTCCCATTTGTTTATTTTTTCTGTTGTTTCTCTTGCCCAGTCAGACATGGTGCTTGAAAATAGATACTACTTCATTTGTCAAATAATTTCAAGCATCTACGTTCCAGGTAATGTCAGGCATTAGGAATGTAAATCATCTCTGTTCTCAAGGAGCTCGTAGTCGAACAAGGGAAGATAGAAAACAAGTTCCTATAAAAAAGTGTAAGTGCTATGATAGAGGCAGGCATACTTACAAAAAAGAGAGGAAAAGAAAATTTCTCCATGGGGAGGGATGACTAAGCTGAGTTTTTAACGATACATGAGTTGACAGGACAAGAGGAGGGAGAAGCACACACGTGGCAGGGAAAACATCAACTCACAAGGCAGAGAGGCTAAAATAGCAAAGTACACTCCAGGAGGTTTATGGGGGCAGTGTGTCTGAAGCATAACGATGAATGAGTGTGTGTGCACATGCACACGTGCAGATAGATGATTTGCAAACCAAGATGGGTCTAATGTGCTGGGTTAAAGACTTTTCATTTCATTTTCCTTTACAGGCAATAGACAGCCGCTGAAGGACTAAAAGTAGGGGAATGATATGATCATGTTTGAGTTTTAGAATGATCACTCTGGCAATAATATAGAGGATAGACTGGAGGGAGACAATAGAGGCAGAGAACAAAAGATAGGAGGCCAATGCAGGTTTTAAATAAGAAATAATGAAGGCATAACCTAAGGCAGTGGCTTTGGGAATGAGGAGAAGGGATGGTTTCAAGAGCTTTTTGGGAGGGAGAAATCAAGATCTGTCAATCATAGCAGACCCTATTGTTTGCCTACCCACCATTCAATGCCCAGATATTCCCTGCTAGCAGAGCCCTGATTTTATTCAAGTGTCCACTCTTAGTTCATCCTCGTGTACAAGGAAAGTAACCTAACCTCTAGCTCACTGTTAAATTGTGATTAGTCTAAGCTAACCACGACAATCATTCCTATCGCCCATGACTGGTTTCCAGTTGTGGCCAATGAAAGGTATGGGGAATTCCTCTGAGGGCCATCTAGGAAAAGTTTTCTCACTCAAAAAAAGTCATACATGGAGAAACAGCTGGATTTTTTTTTTTTTAATTTTATTTATTTATTTATTTTTCACCCAAAGCCCCAGTAGATAGTTGTATGTCAAAGCTGCACATGCTTCTAGTTGCTGTACGTGGGACGCGGCCTCAGTATGGCTGGAGAAGCGGTGCATTGGTGCGCGCCCGGGATCCGAACCCGGGCCGCCAGCAGCAGAGCGCACGCACTTAACCTCTAAGCCACGGGGCCGGCCGAAACAGCTGGATTTTGTCATATGTGAAAGTGTTGACTAAAACTTGAGCAGCCAGCCACGTGGTGACCATGAGGAGAGCTAGCCAAGCACCAAGTCATCACACAGACAATAAAAGAATGGAAAGAGAAAAGTAACATGGGTTTTTGATGACGTTTTTCAGTCAATGGATTAACCAATCCTGGAGCAGCTCTATCTCACATCTACTTGTTTTGTAAGATTAGAAAAAAATCTCTAGGTGAGGAGGGTTTCCTGTTACTTGTAGCAAAGAGCATCCTAACTGACGTTGCAACCAACTTGTTTTAGGGAGTTAGGCAGATTTGATGGTTGAAACTAGTGTCCTGGTCCTTGGCTCAGATGACTGGATGGATGGAGATACCATCACAGAGACTGGAAATAAAAGAGGAATATGTAGGCTTCTGGCAGTATTACTAATTACTAATTCCTCCTATTCAGCAAAAAGGTGAGCACATTCATTTGTAATTCCATATTGCTAGTAAAAGTATAAAGGACAGTAGTGATCATGTATACACAGAGTGCTAAGAGAGCACAGAGGAGGGATTCTATTTCACTGGGGGGAGGTGGGACTGGGAATACTTCCCAGGGGAGACTGAATAATGCAAACCAGAGATCATCTTCTAGTAGGGAAGCTGAAACTTAACAACATCCCATAATCGGCATGTAGAAAGAATATGCCTATAATTTATTGTTGGATCCAACTGTTCAATCTCCAAGTTGCTTTATTTAAAAACAGCCAACTTGAGGGGCTGGCCCGGTGGCGTAGTGGTTAAGTTCATGTACTCCACTTTGGCGGCCCGGGGTTCACAGGTTCAGATCTCAGGCGCAGACCTACACACCGCTTATCAAGCCATGCTGTGGCGGCGTCCCATATAAAGTAGAGGAAGATGGGCATGGATGTTAGCCTAGGGCCAATCTTCTTCAGCAAAAAGAGGAGGATTGGCATCGGATGTTAGCTCAGGGCTAATCTTCCTCACACACACACACACACACAAATAACAAAATAAAAACAGCCAACTTGAACAGCAATTAGAAGAGAAAACCATTTAGTTTTTAAGCTTATAAACAGCAATGAGTGATATTACAAATTCCAAAAAAGTTAAAAAACATGTACCTACCTTTGCATAAGCTTTTCCACCTTTTAATTCCTGCCAAAGACAGAAAACATTATAAGATTATCATGATTAAAGATTTAAAATTAAATATATGTCAAATAATTCTGAAGTACACATTTACATGCTGGGGGATAGTATAGATACTATCCATATCTTTAACATAGTAAAAGTCTGATGATCTGAAATCCAACTATTTGGATGCCCACACCTCCACCTGAATGACCAGAATTTTTATTCAGAATTTAACTTCAATCTGAAAGAGACAAATGGTGAGAAGACAAGCTAATATTTAATCAATTTGCTGAAGAAGTTGCCAAAAAGTGTTTGACACATTGCAAGAACCTTGAATCACCAAAGAAAGGTTAAATTACTTACTTAGTTAAGCATATTAATAAATTGTAGGAAGATTTTAACAAGAGTTGAAACCCCACAGAGACAATCACTGTTATCGATTTTTAAGAATTGTTCAAAAGATGCTCTATGCATATATATATATATACACATATATATATACATGCAGTGTGTGTGCATGTGTGTATGTGTGTATATATACATACGTATATATATATACACACATATATATATATGCAGTGTGTGTGCATGTGTGTATGTGTGTATATATACATACGTGTATATATATATATATACACGTATGTATATATATATATAGGCCCTGGACTCCAGTTTTTTTCCCTTTACTCATGAAAAATTGCTGGAATCTCAGCTCAGCTTCTTAGCGTCTCAGTCATTATTTTTGGCTCAGCTTCTTAAACCACGGCTTGCAAATTAGCAAATACTTTGAGGGTAAAAGCAATGCCAGATGTCAGGCTCATCTCTTTACACTTCCCTTGTCTATGATTCTATGGCTCTCAAGTCCTTACAGCCTTGGCAGCTTCTGATGCCTTCAAGCAGCTATTTTTAATATTTTGTCTAGTTTTTCTGGTTATTCTCAGATGGAGGGGTTGTCTATAATAAGCTAGTCCATTAATTTCAGAAACATAAATCCCTAGGTTTATTATAATCTTAGGGCCTGTTATGAATTATGTGTCCCCTCAAAAAAATATATTTTGAAGTCCTAACCCCCAGCACCTCAAAACGTGACCTTATTTGGAAATAGAGTCTTTACATAAGCAAACTAGTTAGAATGAGGTCCTAATGCAATATGACTGGTATCCTTATCAAAAAGGGTAAATTTGAACACAGATACAGACACACGCAGAGGGAAGATGATGTGATGACACAAAGGGAGAAGAGAGTCATGTAACTGGAGTGACGCATCTATAAGCCAAGGAATGCCTGAGGCTGCCAGAAGCTAGAGAAAGGCATGGAACAGTTTCTTCCCTAGTGTCTTCAGAAGCAGCATGCCCTGCTACACCTTGATTTTGACTTCTGGCCTTCAGAACTGTAAGACAATAAATTTCTGTTGTTTTAAGCCACCCAGTTTGTGGTAGGTATTTTGTCATAGCAGCTCTAGGAAACTAACACAAGGCCTTTTTACTTTCAGGTCTGTGATGGTTAATTTTATGTGTCAACTTGACTAGGTCATGGGGTGCCCAGTTGTTAGGTTAAACATTATTTCTGGGTGTGTCTGTGAGGGTGTTTCTGGATGAGATGAACATTTTAATCAGTTGATTGAGTAAAGCAGATTGCCCTCCCCATTGTGATTGGGCTTCATCCAGTTTGTTGAGGGCTTGAATAGAAAAAACAGATAGAGGAAGGTTGAATTCTCTCTCTCTGCCTGTTTGAGCTGGGACATTGGTCTTCTCCCGTCCTCAGACTAGGATTTACAACATCAGCACTCCTGGTTCTCAGGCCTTAGGACTTGGACTTACACCCCTGGCTCTCCAGTTCTCAGGCCTTTGGACTGGAACTACACCACCAACTTTCCAGGGTCTCCAGCATGCAGACAGCAGGTTGTGGGACTTCTCGGCCTCCATAACTGTGTAAGTCAATTCCTTATAATAAATCTCTTCTATATAGATATCTATCGCTATAGCTATAGCTATCTCCACTCTATTGGTTCTATTTCTCTGGAGAACCCTGACTAATACAAGGTCCCACTCCTTTAGAATGGTCTTTCCCTAGATCTTTTTTTTTTGTGTGTGAGGAAGATCAGCCCTGAGCTAACATCCATGCTTATCATCCTCTTTCTGCTGAGGAAGACCGGCCCTGAGCTAACATCTATTGCCAATCCTCCTCCTTTTTTTTTCCCCTTTTTCTCCCCAAAGCCCCAGTAGATAGTTGTAAGTCATAGTTGCACATCCTTCTGGTTGCTGTATGTGGGACGCCGCCTCAGCATGGCCGGAGAAGTGGTGCATTGGTGTGCGCCCGGGATCTGAACCCGGGCTCCCAGCAGCAGAGCATGTGCACTTAACCGCTAAGCCACAGGGCTGGCCCTTTCCCTAGATCTTTATATGAGTGCCTCTTCTTCAAATGTTACCTTTCAGAGAAATCTTCACTGACTTCTCCCCCAGTTTTCTAAAATGATCTCCTCTCCCTAAGTTATTCTCTATTACCTCATTGTATTTTATACATAACACTTATCACTGTCTAAAATAATCTTATTTGGTTACATACTTACTTTCTGTCTTTCCTACCACTCTTCCCTGACTCCAACCAGAAAGTAGAATCCTTGAGGAGAGTAACTCATTCCAGTTCACCACTGTCCTTTCAGTGCCTAGAAGAGTACCTGGCACACTGTAGAAACTAACATACTTGTTGACTGGTGATTGACTGCTTCCTTGTGTCCTAGGCAACAGAGTACATTATCAAACTTTTTGATCTTTGTCAAATTTATAGGTAAAAAATGGTATCTTATTTGTAGTTTTAATATATTGAGATTGAGTAACTTTTTACATGTTTAAAAGCTATTTATATTTTCCTTTTTGTGAAATGTATATTCTGTCCCTTGCCTATTTTTCTAAAGGGTTGTTGATCTTTTCTTATTGATTTATTTGAAGATGCTCTTTCCATACTAAAATTTGACATGATTTGCAGATATTCTCCCCTAATTTATGACTTTGTTTAAGCTATTTTTTTTGCAATGCAGAAAACGTTTATATAGTTGAGTTTACTAATTTTTCTTTATGAGTTCTTACTTTTATTCTCATGTGGCTTTTTCTCCTTTCTCACTGGCTGAGAGATAACAAGACTGGAGCAGCTCCCTTGGATCTAAAGGTGGGCACCATACGGTGAAGATGGCAGAGCTGCACTACCAACCCAGGATTCCTTAGCTATTACCCAAGAGAGACATAAACTTCTATCTCGTTTAAGTCATTGTGTATTTGGGTATCTGCTTCAGTAGCTTATCATATATGCCCTAACTAATACATCAAACCATTATAATCTGAGGAACTGGTTTATTTCAGATGAACAAGTCCTACCTTAAATAGCAAAAAAAATTTACTTTTTTAAAAAATAGACTCTGAGTTTCTTTAATTAGCAGTTATGCTTTACTCTAAACTGGTTATACGTTTTCTTTTTCTTAAAATTCAAAGACTGACTGATCATCTCTCAAAAATCATGATTAGAATTCCATTTAGAAAAGTTTTAATGTAAGAGCCACAGCAGCAATTAAGGTAGAAAGGGAAAAAAGGTAGGATGCTTTACTTATATCTCGGTTAATCTTTACACCTTCTTGAGGAAGCAATTATTATACCCTTATTTGGATGAGGAAACTGATTTTTAAAAAGTCAGGAGAATTGCCTAAGGTCTCTGTTTACGTAAGTGGCACATGTGGGATTCAAACCCAGGTCAGCATGATGCCATACGCACTTCCACTGCACCATATGTCCTTTAGGGAAGCCTCAATTCAACTACTGCTGCTCCAAACATGACAATTTTAGAGGTCTATTTTCACTAAAGGCTTAAAACCTATAAAATGTATATACGTAGTTATGTTATATTTTAACTAAATAGATTGAGAAATATCAGAATTTAAAATACAGCCCACACATTATAGTGTTATCAGTTCACTCAAAAAGCAGAATAAGAGAGCTAAAAATACAACTTTTCATCTGATACAGAAGGATGTAAGACTGGAGTGGAAAAAAATAAGGCAAGGGACTCCTGCTTTTCATTTTAAGTCTATCTCTATTTAATTTTTGAACATGTATATGTATTACTTTGGTAATTTTAAAAAAATGTATATAAATTGTAAAACATAAAGTTTACATTTTAAAGCCAGTAGTTTAGTTCACCAGTAGTGGTGACTAATGGATTCCTCTTTTTCACCGAAAAAAGGCAGGATCACATATTTATATATGTATTAAGTTGAACCATCTGAGATTGCCACTTTTGCAGACTGGTAATATGCCTCAACCTAATACGTGGAAAGGAAATATATGAGAAAGGAAACATGGACTGAATTAGAACAATTTTGTTTGAGTCTCTACTTTGCCATTTATTAGCTATGTGAGTTTGGGCAAGTAACAATCTCTCTGAGCCTTGATTTTCCTGAAAACGGAAAAAATAACACCTATTTTCAGGGTTGTTATTAGACATAATATATGTGAAATCCCTAAAACAATGCCTAACAAAGAGGAATTTAATGAATGGCAGGATACAGACATATATAGCCCCTCAAATAATACAAATAAGGTTAATAATTATATGTATAGTGATAGCAAGGGTGGGGGATCAGAATTGGACACCTCAAAATACGTCTCTTTACCTTGATTATTTTCTCTGAAAGAAACTTTGACCTCTCCTCCCCCACCACCAACTGCCTACAAGAATTTAAGATAGAAGGCCTGTCCCCAGGACAGGTTATCACCATAGATAACTCTAGGTATGCAAAGACTGGGAGGGCATTCTTATCAAAGTTCTATTTACCAAACACTTACATTTGTAAGGAAAATCTCCATTTGTAAAGGTATCTCCCTCTCTGTATCAGGAAGAAGGGGTGATGACCTCATCTCTAGAAACTTATCAATGCTGAAGGCAAGGCTGCATAATAACCTTACTCTTGTTTACTGTGCTTTTCTGGTAGTCTCCCATAACTGACTCCCCCCAACCTCAACATCCTCCTTTGTCTTTAGCTGAAGAGAGTATTTAAGATGAGAACCTCTGCCATTTTGCCGAGTTACCCAGTTTTTCTGGGTCTCTCCCATGTATACATCCATGTTATAAAGCTTTGCTTGATTTTCTCCTGCTATTCTGTCTCATGTCAATTTAATTTTTAGCCCAGCCATAAAGGACCCAGAGTTGGTAGAGAATAGTCTTCCTCCCACACAAGATAAGGTTCTTGAGTAATATTTGAATTTATAACTTCAGATTCTCCAGCATATTTGTCATAGTAATTTAAATTATTGCTGTAAGTGTGAAGTAAAATTACATATAACAGTTCTAATGATAAAGGAGAGCTAAATAAAGTGAGTCAGTGACTATGGAACTAATTATGGTTTCCAAAAGGGGAGAGTTATAGGCTATTTTTATACCTTCCTCACAGATACTCTGTAGATGCAAGGATCTAGGATGCCCGTAGTGGCACTGGCACTCATTTTGCACATAAATGAGAACTTCTTCCTCCAGTGAACAGAGTTTGCTTGCACCACCTCCCTGAAGGAAAGAAAAAAAAAGAACTAATTAACTTATTATTGACAACATGTGAAAAAAGCACAGACACCCTTTCACTCAAGTCTATAATGCACAAGTGATATATTAAAAGCCAGTATTTGGAAACAGTGAAACTTGAAGAAATCAAATTCCTAACAATGTGATCTGAAAATCTTTGGAAGGTTTTAATTGCCCACAGAAACTGAAAAAAAAGTGAATTTACTTATCAATTCAATCAATATAAACTGAAGCTTCACTATTCATTCATTCAATACACAATACATGTTTATTTTAGGTGTGCTGGGTATGTGTTAAGTGCTTAAAATATGAAGATGAGAATGACAGTGTTCCTAACCTTGTAGGGCTTTATAGTTTACAGTTAGTGTAAGAGACAGAAATATAAACACTTATTCTAAAATGAACTGCCGTCACAGTTTTACTCCTATTCCAGCCATAACAGTAACAGCAGCTACCACTTATTGACAGCTTATGACAGGCTTTTTAATCTCACAACAACCCTACTGACAGGCTATTGACTCTCACAACAGCCCTAGAAGGTAGCTGATGTCCACTTTATAGATAAGGACAATGAAACACAGGAGAGAAGTTAACTCAAGGTCCTTTAGGTAGGAAGTAGCAGAACTAGCATTCAAATTAGGCCCATTTAACTCAAAAGCTTACTTGTCCATGAAGGAAAATCTATATTTTCCCAACAATTCTGATCTTTCAAGTTTCCAGGCCTTTATACATGCTGTTCCCTCTACTGTACTGTGTAAGTATAGAGAGTTTAACCTTAGAAAGGAAGGATAATTATTCCTCTAACAAAGGAATGAAAGCAAGAAAGGAAGGATAATTATTCCTCTAACACAGTAAAGAAAGCAAGACAATGGGTGAAAATAAAGAGAAACTTGGAGGGGCCGGCCCTGTGGCTTAGCGGTTAAGCGCGTGTGCTCCACTACTGGCAGCCCAGGTTCGGAACCCAGGCACGCACCGATGCACCACTTGTTCGGCCATGCTGAGGCGGCGTCCCACATACAGCAACTAGAAGGATGTGCAACTATGACATACAACTATCTAGTGGGGCTTTGGGGAGAAAAAGGGAAAAAAAAAAAAAGAGAGAAACTTGGAGAGAGCAAAAGGGAAAAGCAAGAGAGCCCAGGTTGAATAGTTTCGGTTTTCAGGGAAAGAAACAGGTGAGGTTACTTCTACAGAATGACAGGGGCTGAGGGGTGAGTTGAAAATCGCAATAAAAGCTGAGGACAGTTAAGAATAACCGACGTGGTGAACGTGGTAGGGAGTCAACTTGTAGCTGCCTCAGTGAATAAAAGGAATCTGTACTGGGACCAATCAGTTTGGTTTTACGGATTTCTCCACCAATACACAGAAATCAAAGAACAGGAATTGCAGAGCAAACATAATTTAAAAACCGAGTACGTGTTTGTGTGTGGTATGTACATGTATGTTTACTCACATACATATAAACAGATACACAAATGGGAGAGAAGGGCATGTATTTTATCTTTTTCATTAGGAACCTTTAGGTGATTTAATGAATTATGATGTGAAGAGAATGTATATGTGTTCTTAGGGGAGTTTCCCTTGAAACCCAGCAGGGGTGCAATTTATCTGGTCACAACATAGGCAGAATGAGAGTTATTAGGCAAAGGATGGATCTCGAGGTACTTGTCAGGCAATAGGAGGTATCCCCAGTAAGATTAGTATAGATTTGTATACTCAAAAATGAACAAACTAAAAAAAAAATATCAGTGAATAATGAAAATGACAAAGAGGGAAAAAAAATAAAACTCAAATTTATTGTTGCTTCTCTCTCAACATCTCTTAGTCTCAAGACTTGATGGAGGCATCAGCCATGATTTCTGGAGCTCCCAAAAAAGGTATGTAGGTATACTGATGTGCTGGACCCTTCAGGAGTATGCTGTGCTTCAGGGTACTTAGTTGTTCCTGCCACTGAGACCACTGATGTATAATCAGGAATCAGAGACAATATTTAAAAAATATATATTATTTTATTTTTGTTTTTTTTGAGTAAGATTGGCTCTGAGCTAACATCTGTTGCCAATCTTCCTCTTTTCTTCTTTTGTCTCCCCAAAGCCCTCAGCACATAGTTGTATATCCTAGTTGTAGGTCTTTCTAGTTCTTCTATGTGGGATGCCACCTCAGCATGGCTTGATGAGCAGTGAGTAGGTCCACGCCCAGGATCCGAACCGGCGAACCCCAGGCCACTGAAGCGGAGCACGCGACTTAACTGCTACGCCACCAGGCTGGCCCCTATTTTACTTTTCTTAAAAATTACATAAAAACTTCTAGTTAGGGCTGGCCTGGTGGTGTAGCAGTTAAGTTTGCACACTCTGCTTTGGTGGCCTGGGGTTCATGTGTTCGGATCTCAGGCGTAGACTGATGTACTGCTCATCAAGCCATGCTATGGCATCCCACATACAAAAAATAGAGGAAGATTGGCACAGATGTTAGCTCAGGGACAATCTTCCTCAAGCAAAAATAGGAAGACTGGCAACAGATGTTAGCTCAGGGCCAATCTTCCTCACCAAGAAAAAACAAAACAAAACAAAAAACCCAAAAAACAAACAAAAAAACCTTCTAGTTAAAGATGGCAGGTTGAATGCATGTATTTTCTCTGCTCCTTCCCCAAAATCTTCTATTTAATTATTTTTTTATTTTTTTATTTTTCCCCCCAAAGTCCCAGTAGATAGTTGTATGTCATAGTTGCACAGCCTTGTAGTTGCTGTATGTGGGACGCGGCCTCAGCATGGCCAGGGAAGCGGTGCGTCGGTGCACACCTGGGATCCGAACCCAGGCCACCAGCAGCAGAGTGCACGCACTTAACCGCTAAGCCACGGGGCCGGCCCTTCTATTTAATTTTTAAGGCATCAACGTCTCACAAGGACAAAGAGAACCAGAGAAGAGACAAAAATAAGTGGCCAGGGATGGACAAGTGATAACTGATTTAGCAAACTGAAGAAAGCTGAACCTTAACCTGGTAATGGTAAAAGCCAAGAGCAGGAATCTTAAATTAGTGTTGAAGTAGAATGAAGGAAGGACAAAAGGCAGAAGGACCAATTGAAAACTGTTTTAGAAACAGATCTTCAACAGATTCTCTCCCTGACTCCTGCAGAAGACTGAGATTTATTCTTGTGACAATGTAAAACAGAGGGATCTCTGCACTACCTGACTTGAGGGCAGGCATTGGAAATGGCACAACAGCATGACCATATGGGGTTGAGATGGGGAATCAACAATGACTTACTGAATGCTCAGACTTGCAACCTTCTTCCCCTAATCTGGCTCCTCAGAATGCTGGAGTCAGGGATACATTCTTCAAGAAGATGTGGGAAGAACATTCTCTGGGGAATCCAACCAGCCTCAAAGAAAAGATTTAATGAGATGGATATGAGGGTTCCCAACAAAACAGCTCAGCCAGCTCAATCTACAGTAAAAACCTGAATGAATGAACACTTTCCACATGCACAAGGCTTCTAAGCAACTTTTAGTGCCTCACAGTTAAAAATATGAGCAGACACTTGAGGAAAGTCTCTTAATATGAAAGACAGAGACCGAAACAAATAGCAAAAAGGCAACTTGAACAAAACAGTCTATGCTGGAAGAAGAAAAAAGATTCTCAGCAAGAAAGAAATTGCATCTATCATACAGGAACAGGATGCTATAAAAAAAGAACATACAGGGAACTAAAAAGTACTCATAAAAATCAAAATTACTGGGCTTGATATTCTATTTGTTATTCCAGACCCACTCTATCCTTCTCTGTGGCCCAGGAGGCTGCCCTTTATGGACTGTATCAACCAGGCTTCCTTGCCCTCTGCCTCTGAATGTGCTAAAGGGACAAACACCAGAAGGATGGAGAGCAGGAGGAGAGGGAAGTCAGTGTATTTATTCTCCTGGCTCCTTCCCTGTCAGGCCATCTGGGGAATGGGTAGGTGGTTGGGGACTGCAGTTTTTTACAATATGCCTTGTAGAACTTAGACTCTAAACTATGTGCATTTATAACTTTGTTAAAATAAAAACCAAATTAACCAATTTAAAACACTGTCAAGTACTGAAGGATCTGAAAAGGGGAACAAAAGTATATAACATTGCACCTGAAATGTATATAGTGTTATAAACCAATGTTACCTCAATAAAAAAAAAAAAAAGAAAAGAAAGAAAGAATGGCTGAAAATTTCCCAAATGTGGGGAAATAAACATCCAGATTCATGAAGCCCAGAAGACCCTAAATAGGTTGAACGTAAAGAGTTCTACAGCAAGACACATTATAATTAAATTGTCAAAAATTAAAGATAAAGAGAGAATTTTGAAGGCAGCAAGAGAAACGCAACTCATCACATACAAGGGAAGCCCTATAGGACTATCAGCAGATTTCTCAGTAGAAACTTTGCAGTCCAAGAAAGAATGGGATGATATATTCAAAATGCTTAAAGAAAAAAACTGCCAACCAAGAATACTATACCTAGTAAAACTTTCCCTTAAAAATGAAAGAGAGGGCCGGCCCCATGGCTTAGCGGTTAAGTGCGCGCGCTCCGCTGCTGGCGGCCCGGGGTTTGGATCCCGGGCGTGCACCGACGCACCGCTTCTCCAGCCATGCTGAGGCCGCATCCCACATACAGCAACTAGAAGGCTGTGCAACTATGACATACAACTATCTACTGGGGCTTTGGGGGAAAAATATAAATAAATAAAAATTTAAAAAAAAAAAAAGGAAGAGAGATAAAGACTTTCCTAGACAAATAAAAACTGAGTTTGTCACCACTAGACCTGTCTTACAAAAAGTGCTGAAGGGAGTTCTTCAAGTTGAAATGAAAGAACACTAAATAGCAACATGAAAGCATATGAAAGTATAAAGCTCACTGGTAAACGTAAATATACAAATACAGACTAATGCAATACTGTACTGATGGTGCATAAATCACTTTTAATACTAGTATAAAAGTTAAAAGACAAAGGTATTAATA